CACGCACGCACGCACACACACTCTCAATCTCTCTATACACACGCGCAAATATTTTGTAAAGAGCGAGACAACGGTGAGTTCATGCTGACTGGGTTGGGAACTGGCTGAGATGTCGGTGGCACTGAAAGTGCACAAAGGCAACACATACACATAAGGTCTTGAAGGCAACATTTCCATACAGGGTTAGGCTTCAATATTTACAGTTGCTGCTTTCCTCCCCAACACCTAGACCCTAAACCCTAAATGCTAAACCCTCAACCCCAAACCCTAAACCCTAAACCCTCAACCCTAAACCCTACACCCCTAAACCATAAACGCGCAGATTTCTTGCTGTCAAACCCTGAGCCATGGATCCTTCGATGTTTAGAGAAGGGTTTCAGGCTCAGGGCTTAGGGCTTAGGGGTTCAGGTTTAGGGTTCAGGGGTTCAGGGCTTAGGGGTTTAGCGGTTTAGGGGTTCAGGTTTAGGGCTTAGGGCTTTGGGGTTTAGGGGTTCAGGCTTAGGGCTTAGGGGTTTAGGGGTTTAGGGGTTTAGGGGTTCAGGTTTAGGGTTCAGGGGTTCAGGGTTTAGGGGTTCAGGGGTTTAGGGGGTTAAGGGTTCAGGGTTTAGGGGTTTAGGGTTCAGGGTTTAGGGGTTTAGGGTTTAGAACCCTAGGCCAAACCCAGGAGTGCCAAACTCGACACAAAGAAGGGAAGACAGAGCTCCCGACATCTTTTCTACCATCTTGGGTAGAGCCTGGGATTCACTTCAGGCAAAAAGGAGCTGATGGAATGGGCTTTATGTGGGCACCTGCATAATAAGACGAGACAGGGTTGGGTAGCTGGCAGGGAATGTGTGCTGGAAGAAGGTATGGAAGTTGCCTTCAATTACTGCAAAATGGCATGAGACATACGCCGGTACGGGGTCTCAGGAGGTCCGCTGTCCTCATGTAGGAGGTATCTTTCAGAAACCCTGCCACAGTAGACATGACTCCGAAGATGTATTGCCATCTTGTGACACGAACCCGCTTTTCTCCAAATGCCAAGATCTGGGATAGTACGAGAATAGCCAATTTCCTTTGTTGGGTTTACACACCCAAAGGTTCCAAGTTATAGTATAGTATATACTTTAGGGGCCCAAATACCTACAAAGTAGCTACCATATTAATACTTGAACCCCTTGGGACAGAGACCGAACTAGGCATGTGGCATACTTACAGCCGAGGCAAGGGTTGCGGACAGAGCTGATCAGGACAGGTTGCAACAACGAAGTTTAGATCTGTACCGACAGAAGAGTACGGATAGATGAAGCCTGGTGGAGCCTTTCTAATAAGCCTCAGGGCCCTTTATACCGTTGAAGTCTCTCTAACAACGGAGCAATGTATCCTGAATTTGGGGGCCCTTCCCCTCCAGGACCTGGTGTTCGAAGCGCTAAAACTCGGGGCTTAGATGGGGCTCCGAGTTTTGGACGGTCGGTTTAAGGTA